TCCTTTAGTGTTTTCTATATTCCTAGAATGGCAACATCAGAAACTTGTTTACAAAACTTCTCAGGCTCTGCCCATACCAGGTGTCCCAACTCTAGGGCCGACCCAGAAATGTGCATTTTCACAAGGCTTTGATGGTTCTTATACATGTTAGAGTATACATGTTACAGTAGAATAAAGGAGAACAAGTATATACCTTACCTGACTAATAATTTTAAATGTTTTCTTAATTTCTAGATTCATAGATATAAAATACAATAGTGTTCGGGTAGGAAATTCTATGCCCGTTGAGTTGCTAAGACTGAAATATTTAGGGATGCTTTTATAAAGCCAACAGAGACTTCCCAAGCAAGGCACTGCCTGCAGCATGAAGAACATGTATTAGGTAGAGTTTGAGGAACAGTTCCTGACTACTGAAATGAATGTTAATTCCAAATGTGTGCATAGCAAATGCAGTTTGTTTTTACTTTAGCAAGATATTTTTGTTCTAAAAAGTAAAAACAAATATTCTGAAATTATGCCCAGAATTTTAATCTTAAAATTTACATTATGTTTATGTATGAGCACCAGGCACATAGCCTCCCGTTCAAATCTTTTCTGGATAAACGTTGCTCTTACTCTCATTCTAAAATTCATATGCGATTTCAAAAGAAACTTGTAGCTGGCTTTTCAGAATGCAAATCTTCTCTTAAAATGCACTGGAGATTTTGAAATATGACTCAATTGTAGTTCAGATCTTATGGGCAAATGGTCAAAAATATGGAGGCGGGGGCAACAAGACTATATATCCTGCACATGTAAGCCATAGAGAAGTATCTGTTCATAAGGAAACCTGCTATAGCTCTCATCTTAGAAATGAGAAACCATTCTATAAAACTATTTAGCAGTTACAGCCAACCAGTGAGAATTTGGGTAGTCTCTTCTTCCAGCTTTCTTTTCCCCCTCACTATGAGTAAGATGCCTATCTTAATGGCACTCCATGGTGAATACTGTACTCTCTCCTACATGGAATCAGTAACTTGTACAAACTGTGAACTACAGAGCTGTAGCCTGGTGCTGACATTGTGATGACCCCTGAAGAGAAGGTTGCCCTCCAGGTGCCTGGCCCCTCTCTGGCAGCCAGTGAGCACTTGCTGTAGTTAGCACCAGTGGTAACGAAATGTAAACACCTTTACTTTCCAGCTGCTGCTAATTGGTTTGGGAATATTTGTGTAAGTGTTGATTTTAAAGCTAAAAATAGTGCAGTGCTGTTTAAATCCAAGGCATTCTGGCTGTCATTAATGCTCTCACAATCCTGAAAGTGTTGCTAAAAATGTCCACTCTTTTTAAAATGTAGTAATTAAGCTTGTCTTTTTGTGAGGGCCACATATATGTTGCCTGATGTGATGGAAGCTGTGACGGATATACTTAGAGTAGCCAGGCATGGTTGCCTGTTCAACATTGCTGGGAAAGAAAGGGCCATAATGTGGGAAAACAAGACAGGCTTTACAACACCATCCCCTTTACATTCTAGGTAGCTCATTTTAACCCATGAGTTTACTATGGCATTAAAAATAGAAATTGCAATTGCTTTATTTTAGAAATAAAATATAGACCCTCTAGAGCATTGTGTTATTTCTAAAGGCAGGTTTCAGGATTCTTAAATCGCATAATTAATATTTCTCCAACCTGGAGTTAAGGAATATGGAGGCTTTTTAGCACCCATTATGTCGACCTTTTAGTTAATCAGTTATTTTTGTCCCTCTCCTTCCAAATTTAAAAGTCAAGATTTTACAGATTTTTCTTCAAGTTATTTAAATAAGCTTTGAGGGGAAAAAATTCTCATTTTCATTTTTAGATAGGTGTGAGTTCGTGACTCTTCATTTCATCATGTAATGGATTGAAAGAAAACCTGGTGTGCTTTAATTATGTTGTGTAAATAATTCTGAAGTTTGAGGGTAAAGTGATTTTTTTAAACCTGATAAGAGACAGCTGACTTACCCTAAGTTTTCAAACGATGCAATGTTAGCATTGTCAGTGCAAATTGCGTTGGCTTTATGTCTTAGTGGAGTGCCTCTAGCATCTATCTTCCTGCCTCATCCCTAGAGAACGCTAAAAGATCTTGATGTTGCAGTATATAGAAGTGATTTTGGCAAGTGAAAAACACTGCCTGTTAGCTGAGATGATGTGCTGTAGTTTCTGCCTCTTTCTCTATGGTAGTTGTAGCTAGGCATAGAGGATTTTGATGTTATAATTCATCTAAGACATAAAATTGTGGGTGTGCTTGCAAAGGACACCACCATTTGAGCAAAGAGGTGGTTTACAGTGTGGGGGTGGGGGTACGAGTGTCTAGAATATGCAAAGAACTAGAGAAACCTGAATGTCATGAAAACAAATAATCCAACTTAAAATCAGTATCTATAACTAAGTAGAGAATTTTCAAAAGATGAGACACAAATGGCTGAGAAATACTTTAAACCCTTCAACAACCTTAGCTATCAAGAAAATGCAAGTTGAAAACACTTTGAGATTTCCTCTTGCCCCAGTCAGAATGGCCACAATTAATAAAAGATGAGTGAAATTTTCAGGTTAAATGGAGGAGGCTAAAAATAATCATCCTGAGAGTGGTAACCCAGCCCCAGAAGCACAAATACTACAAGTTTTCCCTTTTATGTGAATGTTAGCTTTTAAAATTTAGACATGTGTTTTCTTTTAAAGATTTGCGCGTGGGAATGTGGAAATATGTGTCCACCAGTCCATGCGCACATTGAGTGTAGAAGGCAGAATCTGTTCCCCAGGTCTGGAGGTTAGGCAGTTGTGAGCCATCTGACACAGGTGCTGGGAATTTACCTCAGCTCCTCTACAAGAACAGCAAGCACTCTTAACTGCCGAGCTTGTCTCCACATGATTACTCTCAAAATGTAGTCATCTCAGAATTTCCCTTGATCAGATTATCACACTGCAATTGGCCTTGTATTAATTTCAAATTGTAATTGACATTTCCAAATTTATAGTACATCAAGTACAGTGTTGATGTAAATAAAACCTTTACTTGTCATATAACTAAAATTAGATGGAAAACTCCTTAATCACCACTAAGTTAATTCCACATGAAAGAGAGAGAAAACAAGATAGAGAGCTAAAACTGTATACTGAATACTTTTTTCCTTTGGGGGAGAGAGAGAGAGAGAGAGAGAGAGAGGAGGGAGGGGGAGGGAGAACTGAAAGGAATAACTGTTTTAATTAACTGTCACTGTTAAATGTTGGTGGATTGGAGGGATGTATATCGTTAAAATGGCATCACAATGTATAGATTAAATGGGCTCTCTATCAAGTACTCAGTGGAGGTTGAAAATGACAGACATGCTGGTTGTTAAATTGATGGAGACATGTAACATGCCCAGAATATTAAGCAAACATGGAAAACAAACCAAGTGTGAAAGAAGCACACATCATGATTTCAGAACTTAATGCAAATCTAAGATAGTCAGAACTGTATGGTGCAGGCATGAAGATGGTCATAGTTAAATGAACAGAATTAAAAACCAGACTAGTGATAATGTGAGCCTTCACCTCTGGAGCTGTTCCAGTCATGCCGCAGCATCAAGAGCATGGGTTCTCCAGCTAGAAGATTGTAGCTTCAGGCCTCAGACCTCTGGTTTCTAACCTCATCCTAGAACTTCCTTGTTCCCATTTCTCAGAAACCAGAAGAAACAATGTATTTTTTAAACCATGAAGTTTGGGGGTAGTTTCTTATATAGTTTTTAAAAACAACATATTAGATTCTGACTGTCTGAGAGCCACACACAAGGCTCATTGTGTTACAGACAGATAAACAGCCAATGACCTGAGCGTAAATGGGCTTATCAAATATCTTAATATGCATGATCATCATAGGTTCAAGAATTCTGTTAAATCTATCTAGGTTTTTTTTTAACTTTTCCAATCTTGCCCTGTTTGTATGAATTTATCAACCCGTTCCTAAGGATAATATGGGCATTAAACTTTCAGATACTTATCTTTTCAAAGATGGTTTACCCTAAACTATTAAGGGATCTTTAACTTTATACATTGTGCTTCCTTTTTTTATCCATGTGGAGAATAGAAAATTGAATTAGGAAAAAATATATTTCACAAAAACACATACATCTGTTTGAAAAGTTGCTATCCATTTAAAATGAAAGACACATTTCTAAAAAAAATCAGTTTAGGAAGCTAGAGACATGTCTTAGAAGTTAAGAGCACTTTGTACTCTTGCAGAGGACCTGGTTTGATTTCCACTCGTGGTGGTTCACAATCACCCATACAGTTGCAGGAGATCCAGTGACTTCTTTTGACCTCTGTGAACACCAAACACACATGGTACACATACAAGCATGGAAGCAAAACACTCACACAAAAATAAAATTAATAAATCTAATAAATAAATGTTAAAAAAATAATCAAGAGAACTAGACATGGTCAAAGTGCATGACTCAAATCCCAGCATTTAGGAGAGAGAGGCAGGTGAATCTCTGCATTTGGGACCAGCCTGATTTATAGAGGGAGTTCCAGGATGGCCAAGTAACAAACATTTTTTCCATACATTTGGTTTTGTCCATATACTTGCTTTTTTTCTTACATTGCACTGTGCTATGTGCAAGCACATAGATGTCATTAAGACTTGTTTCTCACTACTTAGTAGCACTGGAGACTTCTTTTTGGTATTTTTTTTCAAACTGGTTTAAAATATGATCGATCCCCAAACCCAAGGCTGAGCAGCAGAAAGTTGAGCGATGTATTCCCAGCTTTTAGCATACTGCCTTGTGCAAAGGCCCCTGGTGGAGCATTTCAGAAACCAAATAAGAGGGGAGAGCCCAGTGAAAGCATAGAGAAGATTAACGCCGGTCTCTAGTCTTAAAAGAAACGAAAATAGATTGCCTGTATCCAGGGGAAGCTACCTCCTCCCTCAGTCGTAAGGTTTTGTTCCAAGCTTCAGTTCTGTATGTGCAGCATCTACATCCTTTGACTTTGCTTCATTCCAGGATTCCACCCAGAACTTGGAAAACAGAGAAGTTATGAATGGTGAACAGACAGAGCTACTAACATCGCACAGAACTAAGGACGCACTGAGGTATTTCCTCATGAAAATAGAATGTTCTGATTTATTTAAACTTGGCATTATTCTATTGAATGGATTTTAATTGTTCTGATTTTTTAGGAAATACCAAGAAAAGTAGAACTGGTTAATGAAGCACATTTCAATTCAAACACTGATTATTTATTCCTTTCTCCCATTTTCTACATATGATATTAGAACCTTCCTGAAAACCATAGATGCACAAATAACCCTAGAGGCTTCTAATACTCTTCCACATCTGAACTTGTTTGTTTCTTTTTCAGTTTTATACATTTTATTACATCACTTTCCCTTTTGATCCTTCTCCCTTTAGCCCCTCCTAAGTCACCGTCTTCCAACTACACACACACACACACACACACACACACACACACACACGAGTCCAATTTTCTCTGTCTGTGTGTACTATTTCAAGGTTAATTAGTCTAATGCACAATCACTGAGGCCTCTCATCCCTTGGAGAAGCCAATGCTCCCTCTCTCAGCAGCCAATAGCTGCCTGTAGTACCTTATCTACGGATATTGGCTTTGCTGTAGTCTTGTTTTTGCAGCCATTTCTAGAAGAGATTGGTTTACATTAGACTTCTTGATATTGTGACCCCCATAATCCTTCTGCCTTCTGTCCCTTGATGCTCCGAGTCATAGATGGACCATTGTGTAGATGTAGACATTGGATCTGGCTCCCCACAATTTGTTAATCTCAGCATTGTATCCAGCTGTGGTTCTCTGCAACCATCTCCTTTGCTGTACAGAGAAACTTCTGTGGCGAGGGAGTGGTAGCTACACTTAATTGTAGGCATAAGAATAAGATCTAGAATGCAGCTAGGAATTAGGCTGGTCTAACAAAATGAATGGTAAACTCTCCTCCAAGGTTCATGACGTCACTACCCATGGGGAAGCTAGCTAAGTTTCTGGTGCCAGGCCTGATTTCCCTGCTGGGCAACCAGTTTCAAATTGCTTTTTCTTGTCTTTGCCCTGCAGTTTATAGAGCTCTTCAAAGTTCCTTGTGTTTGAGTGGTTTGCTTTGCCTCTAGCTCTATGAGTAACTGCTGTGGGTTGTGTTTATACAGTCACATTATTATACTTGATGCCTGTGAGATGAATTTGCTCCACCAACCAGGATTTTTTCATATTATTAATGAAAGTAGCTCATCATGTGAAGTCAACTATTACTCGTCTCAGTACTGATCTCTAATGCCACAACCATAGGCACTGCCTGGATATAAACCATATGTCCCTACTAATTCATCTCTTCTTGCCTTAGTTTCTGGTCTATAAGGTAGAAATAATAGGATTTGGGGCTATAGTACAGTTGGAATAGCCTAACATGCATGAAGCTCTGAGTTGAATCAGTCCCCGGGATCATATAACCAGGAGTGGTGTCTCTCATCTATAGTCCCAGCATTTCAAGTGTGAGGTGGCGCCAGGAGGACCGGAAGTTCAGCGTACCCTCCACTACACAGCTGAATTCAAGGCTAGCCTCAAGAACAACAAAGTAAGACCTCGTTAGAAATGATGTTACTAGGATGCTGGAACTACTATTTTTTTTTTTTTTTTTGGTTTTTCGAGACAGTTTCTCTGTATTGTTTTGGAGGCTGTCAGTCCAGCCTGGCCTTGAACTCCCAGAGATCCGCCTGCCTCTGCCTCCCGAGTGCTGGGATTAAAGGCGTGCACCACCACCGCCCGGCCTGAATTACTATTTTTAAGTGTAATATTTGATAACATATATAAAATACTTTGAACAGTGTTTGGGTCAGAGTGAGCCTTGCATTTGATTCTTTCACTACTATTATTTTCTTTGTTGCAGGTTTGTTATCCCTATACAAAATTCTTGGGGTCAGAAGCTTTTCAGAATTTACAAGACTTTTTTTAATTTTGGAAAATTTATGTAGAGAGTACTGGTTGACTATGCAAAATAAAATAGCCCAAGATTCTGCAAATTCTCAATCTCTTGAAGCATTATTTTAGTGTTCAAAAAAGTTTCAGATTTTTAAAGCATTTTGGATTTGGAGATTCCTAGACTGGGTCAGATCACCTTGTATGGTTTCCATTATTGTAATTATTTTCAGTAAATTGTTTCAATTTGGCATAAGGAAAGTAAATTGAAATTTCTCCAGCAGTAACTTTGGCAATAGAAAGTGATGCTGTCATAGCTGCTGCTCCTCCGTTCACTGTATTCTTTCCATTAAGTCCATTTATTCAAAGGAGTCAATCAGTCCGCAGGAAATCAGCTACTCTCTTCTGGAAAGGTGATCACCCTTATCAAGTGACCATGTAGAGTCTCTTCAGCTTTATGAAACTCAGCCACATGGTCACCATTCCTGTTCACTTGGAATTTTTACTAATGAATTATGTAATCTAAAGCATTCAGTCAAATGCATTCCCAAGACACTCACTTTGTAAAAGTTGCTGTTTGTTCTTATATCTAGTCATAATGGAATGAATGCTCCTGTTTTATTTGGCATTAATTTTTTTAAAAGAATTAGCTTTGGCAAATGTTTCCCAGAATCTTAGTGAAATGCTGCAAAGACACTTATCATATAATATCTAGTTGTTTGTTTTGTGATTTATTTATGTTTATTTATTTTTAGTTTTTTAATTCAGAAAAAATTAAGCTTTTTTCTGTTTACAGATATTTGAGAGAAATATCATGGATGGTTTTTAATATATGTATTTATTATATCAATATAATTTTCAACAGAACCCCTTTTTGTGTCTTATTGTTGCCTTTGGTAGGTTAACTACAACTCCAAACAACTAGCACAATAGAGAGCCAATCCACATTTACCACTCTGGTCTAGAAATCCACTGATTCAAGCGTTGATTATGCGTACCTTCTAAGTCCTTGATTGGATTTCAGGCTACAGGACCTACATGGGAAAAATTGTGATGAAAGACATAGCTGGAATCTGTTCAGATCAAACTCAGAATATAGAGTGGATGCAAACGCCCTGTGACTACAGACTGGACTCAGAGGGTCAGAGTGCCTGAGGAAAAGGGCGGGGCCAGTGGAACACCTCTAGGTCAATGCCAGGATGTTGGCTGCTTTGGTCTTGTGTGGGTTTTTGCGCAGGTTTTGTGCAGGTAACCACACTGCTGTGAGATTCATGAGTGCAATTTCCTTGTCATCTCTAGAAGACAGCATTTCACAGAGCTCTTCTCCAGCTCAGGCTTACTTCCTTTCAGGTAGCACAGAAGCTAAGTAAATTGTGTGTGGAGTCCAAAATGACTTAGACCTGTTACATGCCTACAGCCATTGTTTCAGTCCTTGTTATCGCTCAGCTAAGCTATTGCAGTAACTTACCATCTCCCCTCTCCAGTGTGAATCTGTTCTTATTCTCTCAAGAGTGTACACATAAGTCAACTGAGTAAAATGTTCTAATCTGTAATCTGCATTAGTTAGCAATTCCTTCAAAATCTTGAATTAGATAAAGTCTAGGTTTGAACACTGGTTTTGTACCTTACTACCTGCCCATTGTTGAACTAATTACTGAACATCTTTAAGTTATTTCCTTTATATGGAAATGATTTTTATGCTCACATAGATTCTGTGAAGATTAATTAAAGGGCATTACAGGCATCTGACTTAGTGCATTGCTAAATGAAAGGCTGAATAATTACTAATTGCTATTGTTAGTTTCCTCATCATTATTACACATATTATAGTTCCTTGTAACTCTGTATTATTCCATACAAGACTGAATCCTCAAAAGCATTTCTGGCACCCCATACAGGTCTTAGAATATAAGAGGAACATATTTGTTAAGCGATTGACTTAATGGATAAAACAAATTGCTCAATGAATCATCAGCATAGCTATGATTTTAAAAGCTGGTAAAAGAGTGTTCTCTAACTAGTCTTATATGCATATCCTGTGAATCACCAGTCCTCTGACTTTGATCATAAAATACAACAAAGTGAAGGGCTTCAATTGGGTAGTTTTCCTGAAAACCTGAGAGCATCTCTTTCAATAGCAAGCAATATGTACAGAAGACCTTCCCTTCCCCCTGATTCCCTGGACATTTTGCCCTGGATCCTTACTAATGAAGCTGTGCCTGAGCAGTCAAGACCCTAGTACTTCCCACAGCTGCTGAAATATAATCACACTAGTATCCCAACTTATGAATTGAACAGTGTCCAGAAGACTGAGAACACATCCTACTTGATACAAAACTAGTTGAATTAGGCTAACAGCAAAATCAAAACCAAATTCCCATCCAACAAAGCTGAGCTAGAAACTCATGTCAAAAGATACACTCATGACTTAATTCTAGGCACCAGGTTCAGTGCAAAATCATAAGCAGGATGAAAATCTAAGATGTTCCCAAAGATCATCAGTCCTATAGCAATGGTCCCAATGGTGCTTTAGAATGTTAACTGACTTCTGAATTGTAATGTCTAGCTATTGCTAGAAGATCTTGAAGCAATGTACAAGTCCTAATGACTATAGATACTCACATAGACAACTGTGACCAGCCAAACTATCTGCCATAGTTGAAGGAGAAAAAAATTTCTGTGATATAAACAGATGAAACAAATTCATGTCCACCAAAACTAGCCCTATTGGAAAGAACATTATACACTGAAGAGAAGACTAAGCACAGCCAAGAGTACTCTAGGAACAGTTATACTGCGTAGACCTAGGAGAGTTACCTACAAAGCCACACAATTACAGCATTCAATGTCAACACACACCACCCAGTAACTTTAAATATTAATGGCCTCACCTCCCTGTTAAAACTCATAGGTTAGCAGATTGGATTAACAAAGGGTATCCAGCATTTTGTTGTCTGCAAAAAGAACACATTTACCAACAAGGATAGGTACTTGTCCTAGAGTGAAAGAGCACACTCCAAGCCACTGGAACCAGCAAATGAACAAGTATGTTATTCTACTATCTGACAACACAGACCAGACCAAACTGATCATAAGAGATAAATGTCATTTCATTCTGAAAAAGGGAACCACCCATCAAAACCCATTACAATTTTAAATATAAATGCACCAAATCCAGATCAATCCAATTCCATAAAATACACACTACTAAGCATTAAGGGCCAGATTAGTTCTAACATAGTAGTAATAGGTGACTTCAATACCCAACTTTCACCAACTGATAGGTCACCCAGACATAAAGTAAACAGAGAAATATCAGAGTCAAATAACATACCATATCAAATGTGCCTTACAGATGTCTAAAGGCTGTTTTACCCAAACGCTGCAGAATACTCATTATTTTTGATATCTAATTGGAGTTTCTCTCAAAAAGACCACATATTGGGGCATGAAGCAAATATCAGTGGATATGGAATTATTGAAATAACTCCTTGTGTCTTCTCACCATTTTTCATTCTACTCCTGCTCCCTCCTCTTAACCCCCTTTATCTCTATCATTATAGCCTACAAATGTGTCCACGAGATACTCAGTTTTAGATTCTCAGCATCGTTTCCCGTTCAATGCCTGCCATCGCCATCCTCTCACCTTATCTTTTCTGGGGGAGAATCCATTTGTTCATCATGGTAACTTCTCAGAGCACCACTTCCCTAATGAATTTGTTGAGCTGAGCTTACTGTCTTCATCCTGTACTGTCTTTTCTCTGGTCTACATCATTAAGCTCCTGTGTTTTGAAACTTCCATGACAAAGGGATTAAGGACTCCTGCTACAGGTCCCAGTTTGCCTCCTGATCCCGCTTTATATGAATGATATGGTACTGGACATGCTTCCACTCCTTACGCATTGGCTTATTCTAAAATGGAAGTGATATGAAGTATCTGTATTCAATGGGTGCAGCTTGTAACACTCAGAAGCCAACTGACACCTTATCTGCCAAATCATGGTTTGCACTGATCTAGACTGCTTCTTTTACTACAGTTTGATCAACCATAATATGAGAGTTTAAAAACCCCAATTTTCTGAATTTCAAACTTTTTCAGTGCCTATTGGATGCCAAAGAAGAAAATTCTACACTTCACTTTATACACAAAGTTATTTTTTAAATATTGTAGAAATATTGTAAAATTACCTCAGACTATGAGTATGGTATGTATGAAACCTAAATTAATTGTTTCGACTCAGGCCCCATCCCCCCATATATATTTATGGATGAGTATTCCAAACTCTAAAAACTCAGAGATCTGGAGCCCTTCTGAATCCAAGCATTCATATCAGAACACTTATATTATTCTACTGCCTTTCTCACCATTATTATCTTTTCCAACACTGCCTACTAGTGTCCCAGACTTTATGGTTTTGCATTTTGTTTTCTTGATTATTTGATTTTTCTTTTACAGAACTTCCCCACAGCAGTGACTGAGTTTATAGTAATTGAATTAAAATTAATAAAATTCAAACAGATTTGCTAATATAACCCCCAACTCAGAGATTTTTTTCAATCAATGAATTTATACCCACTATATGTTTCTACAAGGAGTAGAGTTCAGGGTCATCAGCAAACTCTTGTTTGGGCTTTTCTCTGAGTCCATCCCAATTGCACTAGATATGATGGGTCTTCAACTCAGTCCCTAAAGATACAAATACACATCTTCTGACCATTTGTTAAAAACGTTTGTCTTCCCTTCCCATGTAACCAATATAGTGAAAGAGTATATTACTTGATCTTATAGTGTTTAAGTTTTACCCATAAAATTGGTGAGATTAAAAATAAAGAAAATTATAATTATTCCTTTAAAGGCCATAAATGTAATTGTTCCCTTAGAAAGTGCTAATAATCAAACTAGGTATGAGGACGTAGTCCTATAATCCAGAGGCAGGAAGACACAAGTTCAAGGCCAACCCAGACTACAAACTGAAAATCAGTCTCAAAAAGGAAATTCTCATAATTATAAAAATGGCAAAAATTTATCAATCCCATCACATGTGTGATGTGTATGAGTTATTTTCTCTTTAAAACTAACACCTCTGTTGGGAATGTCCCAAATCACAAGGTCCTCTTTACAGAAATGAGGACACTGAGGCTTGGCATCTTGGTTTGAATAATTCAGACATCGGACTCATAGTCACGCGTGGGAGAAAACTTGTCCTCTGTCCTTAATCCTTTCTCTCCAATTGAGGGACTGGAGACAGTGTTGAGTAATATCAATGTAAATTCTGTCCATTTGTCTTGGGATGAAGGAATAAGGCTTACAGACATCTGCAACACACATTGCATCATCTGCTTGAAGCTTCAGTTCCTCTTGGTCAATAGAACCCAGTTGAAGCACTTAACATTTAGTGGGTAGCTTTCAGAGTAACTATTCATATTGACAGTCTCACCTTTATCCACTGATGTGTAACTTTTTACATAGTTCTGTCCTGAGCTCTTAGACTGGCCATGGCTGTTCCCAGTGATTAGAGTCAGCTCTGTCATATGAACTTTAGGGAGTTCAGCTTGCTTAGTATCTTTGACTTAGTATCTCCCAGAATAATTATTTTGGTCACAGGGAACACTAACCACTTCTCTGTGCTGTGATCCTTAGCTCGCACTGGTCACATTTTTTGTCTGTTTCCATGGTTTATTTTACCTTCCACTTCAGGAATATACTTTCTACCACATTTTCTATATTTTTCATTCTTAGTCTCCCTTACCATGCATGTATCATGGTCTCTTCACTGTCCTCTGAACTTGAACAACTGGATGCCAAATACAAATTGCACTCTGGTGTTTATCTAAACAAATAACATTAGCAGCATGTTTTTACATTTTTGTAAGTCTCAATTTTGAGATATGTATTGAGGTATTTTGAGATAAATAAGAGTGTGTGTGTGTGTGTGTGTGTGTGTGTGCAGTCTTCCTTGCTGTGTTTATTATATCCCATGAGGTGTATACATACAGACATTTCTACACAACATCAAGCACGTATAAAATACTGGTGATTCTTCTTTTACAATCAATAAAAATATGTGAACATATTTATGTAGCATTGTATTTCAGATTCCTGTCTTTTCAGGTAAAAACAATTTATGGATGAACTTTTATAAAATAAGGGCATGATTCATATAGATTTAAATGTCATTTTTTAGCAGATCTAGCTTTCTGTGAATGTCTGCATGTTTGTTACAGTTTATAAAATTACAGTCCACTATGCATCCCCACCCAAGGGTGATAACCTTTTCTGAATACTCTCAAAGTTGCCAAGAATCTTAGTTGAAGAATTATGACTGTTGTGTATAAGGGAAAATTAAAAGTTTACCCTCAGAAATAAAAAAAAAGTTTACCCTAAAATGTAGAAAAAGGAATTTCACATAGAAATTAATTTTAAAACCTGAATCCTCTCCAAAATCTTTAGTAGTTTTGAATAAGACAGAATGAAGTATAAGATTTATTTGCTGATTGTAAAAACAGAAGATTAATAATTACTAAAATAGTGATATGCATCAAATTTATTATTTTTACAGGACGTTTTTAGTAGATTTAAATAAATATTTATAAAATAAAAAATGAATTCAATGGCAGCCAATATCTATAAAATGCCATCTGTGAGATGAAATCTTGAAGTCGGCCCTAGACTAAACACTAATATTTTCAAGCTTCTATGTTAAGTGTGGGTGATATCCACAGGTATACAGACACTTGATATATTTGCCAAGAGTGAGTTGTGTTGTGGACAAAACTCTAAAAATTATAAAGGGAAAGGTAATAATGTTTTAGTGGTTAAAAAAAGAGCTTAGTCTCAGTGTCTAAACTTTTAAAATCAGTATCTTTGGAGTTGGTCTTCTTTCAAAGCTTATATTTAGCTGCAAATCTATTATTATATGAGAATTACTAGACTGGATCATCAAACACTTTACAAGTTTCTGTACCCACCAAGTGTTTTGCATTCAGACTTACAATGTGCATCAATGTCCATCCAGACACACCTATGTTCATATCTGTGCTTATTCACATAGAAACAAGTCCTTTGTTCTGTATCATCATGCTGAGGTTTGCTTGGTTTGTGATTTTCTTATGGGCCTCTTATACAGCCTGCTTGACTGAACAAGTTGAATGTATTGACAGTATCTGAGTGAAGACCATTTGAAATTTATTATCAGTTTTGAAATTGCTTCATCTCCCTGAAATGCCAGAAACTGTCTTGCTTTATTTTGCTTTATCATTTTTTTTAGTTCTTACTGATAATAGGGTTGCAAGGAAAAACACATTAACAATAAGCCTGATCTACGACTAGCAGGTACTTAATGTATTTATTTTAGATTGCTGATAATTAAAAAAAAATCCCTATTTCCAGGGTGAATTCATCAGACACTTTGTTTTCTTAATGCTGTTCTCAACTTGCCAGCAAGAAACCAAATTTTTACCATTTTCAATATGGAGCAGAAAATATCTGAGGCAGCTGTGGCTCTTAATTTGACATCCAGTTTCAGGTCATTTTCATGTGAGTGGAAAACAATAGAAATGTGTTTACAGTTTCCACAAAGAGGATGCTTGCTTCAGCTTTGCCATTTTCCTCTGGCAATGTTGTCTTCTCTCTCTCAGATTAAAGGAGCCAATGATTGTTCACAGTTATTATTTTTTATCTTTACAAAAACTTGTTTGCTCCACTCTTTATGACCCGGAAGTTTCCAGCACCGTCTGTATTTCAGTCATACACACTCCCTATTAGTGTTTCTCACTCATCCTTTCCTAAGCTGAGCGAGGTTAGGCAGGTCAGCCTTCCTGTAATGCATTTTCTCTGTTTTTTTTTTTTTAACCTCGTTTTCTGCCTTAAAGATAGAAATAAATAAATAAACCAGGAGGTGAAAACTTGGAATTGTTCCATTGAGGACAACTGATGCAAGCTTTGATTTATATTGCTTTGAACATGCCCAACTGTGTTACCAACTGTGGCTTCTCCACCATTATAAACTGCAATCCAGTGCAGTTTCTAATAAATAATTTTATTTCATTTTTTACCCTTTTCTGGGAAAAAATAAATCCTACGTCAAGCCTAAGCAATAGATACACTTATTTTTATTCTTAGTGTATCTAAGAATTTTTATTCCTAGTGTATCTTATTATATTCTTAGTTGTCTAAGAAACAGATACCCTCATTTCTATGTGTTTATGGTCTATACAGTCATTTTCAAGAATCTCATCAGGGAGAGATTTCATTCTATGGACCTCTTTTTATCTCTGTTGATCTGTGCAGCTTAAATGGGAGGCTGTTTTAGCGGTGAGTTATTTCTCAGCTTGCTTTTTTCAAGGAAGATTCAAATAAGAAATCAGAGACTCTTTTAACATACTTACTCTGTGGATCTTTGAAACACATCAGCAAGCCCCGTGCACTCCTGACTTGCTGTAGATGTGGAAGTCACAGTAGTTGATACAGTCAGGGAAGAGTGTTGTGGGTGGGTTAATGCACTGCATCTGTTTTGAGCTAAAACTCATGTGTGTTCCTGTTTTGCTCTGCCCCAGTGATATGACAAGAATGGTGGAGATTTCTGGGGAAGGAGACCCCCTGGGAATACATGTGGTGCCCTTCTTTTCATCCCTGAGTGGACGGTAAGGTGTTTTCCTTGTCTCAGAAGCTCATGCTAATAAAAACCCTGATGAAGGCAGTTTCCAGGAGCGCTAAGTGGCAGTCTCTTATCAGCAATACTTTGGTTGGCCTCATGCTTTAGAGACAATCTGAAATCATTTATTTCTAGGATGCAGAGAAAAAAAATCATCCCAATCTCTCCACTTACAATTAATTATGAAGCACTTTCTTGGAGCATCCTTGAGAGTGACGCATAGTAAACAAGCTCCTTGGCAAAGATTTTAACATATTGTTAGACAAATGTCACAACTGAGTGCGTTTTTCTTTTACCATTATAAAATATTCTTCAATGAGTGAAGATAGTAATTCCAAATTCTTCATGTACATAGGATTAAGACCAATAGGCATTCACATTCTAGTAACTATTTAGTTATATTCAGTAATAGAAGAAAATTGTGTTTTTTTGTTAATTTTTGTTTTTTAAAATACAGTTTAATTCACTAAAGAATTCATTACATCCTTTTGGAATTTTAAAGACATTTGCTGATAAATCCATACTGGCAAATGCTAATTTAAATTGTGGCAATGTGTCTTGAAATCCACATCTGACAGGATATAAAAATCTGTTTTACTGGTGGGAATGAAGTGGATGCCACAGAGCTGGCAATTTAGTTGGCCGTATCAAAGGAGAAGCGACTTTAGTCATGATATTTGGGTTGGCATCGTCCTCAGCAGGTAGCCATCTGCTATCTGTAATTGCAAAGTCATCACCTTAGTTTTCTCCCATATAACATCTGACGGCAAACTCTTGCTGGAATGAACCATCTCTAAAAAGAAATGAAGCGGAAAGCCAGTGGCTCTTTTTGTCTGGTTTCTTGTGTGTGTTAATAAGTGTGTTTATATATGTTATGGGTTATGGCAAAGGACAGACCGGGGTTGTTTTTGACAGACAAGGTGAGTATTTATTCAGTTCCCATGAGAAATCCTAATGGCTTTTGGCAGAAGTGTACTGATAGGGCCCTGTGAAATACCAGAGTGGTTAAATTGCCAGGCCCTTTAGTTTAATGAACCTGGAATAGAACAGAGGATCTTTGCAATTCCCCAAAATGAAAAAATATCCACAGTGACACTCACCATCCTTCATTCTCAATAGTTCAGAAAACAAGCTGGCCCTCCAGATGAGAGATCTCCTCTCACTTCTGATGAGGAGAAGAGCTACAGGATGTATTGATCTCCCCCTCTTCTTTGGGGTTTTGACTCCTAGCATGTGTTCTCCTCACATAACCTCCAGCTAGCCCCTAAACCTGTTTGTATAAAAACCTCCCTCACTTCAAGGTTATGGGGATTAAGTGACATTAAAAACATGGCAGCTCCTTGTAAAACCCACGACCTATGAATGCAGAAATTGTCGGTGTAATGATTGTTTTGGATAAAGTAGAAACAGTCTGATTCACAAATGAGGGTTCATTTAAACTCATGGTCAACTATACAGTAACTTGAAGAAACGGTCCTATTATATTTTGGGGTATCCACTACTGTTATAGAAAGGAAATTTAATTAAAAATCATATGGAAATGGAGACACGAGCCAATAAAAGTTAAGAAGTAATGAGTACAGGCTGAAACAGCACACTTAACTCAACCCATGTGTCTTGATGTAACGGCCTGTAGAGCCTGTCAGACAAGTGTCTGCCTTCATTCTGCCATCTGGCTTCACTGTGTGAGCGCATGGGGCTTGCTTAGGTCATAGTGCTATGCTTAGCTCTTAATTTCCTTCCATTTATTAGTTTGTTTCATTATTTTAAATTAGAATTTACATTTAATTCTTTATTAAGACTACTGTAATTGGCTTTGCTTCCAGTGTTTTGTTTTGCTTTGTTTTTCATTAAGAAAAATATGACCACACCTGTTACTAAATGAGAAACTTGTTCTAAGAACATCTGAGTAAAGCCTGGGGTCTACTTTATAAACTGAAGTCCCCAGGAATTCGTTAGATACCAGAGCGTGGGGAAGCTGGATACTGCTTGTGTTGAGGGCCATTGGCTTTCTCAGTTTTTGGTTATTTGTTTGTTTTGTTTTGTTTTGGGAAAGAAAATAAACACAAAACCCTAAGTCCTTACAAACAAACAAATGAAAAAAAATCACACCATTTATTTTTAAATGTCAATTAAATTTAAAGAATTAAAACACTAATTTTTCACTGAAAATAGATAATGCACTTCCATTTCATAATAAAGATGCCTCAACAGCTAAAGACCAGGGGGAAGGAAGAGAGTCCCAGTGTGAGGAGAGGAGTTGGAGTGACAGGCTGTGAGCTAGCAGGATGGTGCAGCCACGGGATTCAGTGGGAATACAGGGCTGGCACAAACGTCGGGCACAAGAGTCTCAGTGATGATTACCTCAGCAAGTAGGAGTTGTCAGGCCCGTTAACCTGCTGGGAGACTGGATTTTGAGCATCCCTTTATATTATCAATAAACTGGTTGTCTTACCCTATGATGGCACCACAGCATTAATTGTTAAGTCCAGTAAGTTTTTATCTCCAATAAGGCAGCTATCACCCCACCAGTAAGTAAAAATAGGTAGTGTTTTATAAGCTTCCTCACAGTGGTAGAGATGACATCATACTGCAGGGAATTTACCCCTTCCAGATAACAGAAAGGGTGGGATGGGTTTGTTGCTGGAGATCCAACTAATGAAATCAGTCAGTTTTACATTTTATCAAAATTACCTCTGACACACAGGTTTTACAGTTGGGCTTATTCTGTCAATAAATTTTTCATGGGAAGTTGGGTTATTTAGATCAGCGAGGTTCACATAGCATGCTCCAGCTGTAATATGCCAGCTAAATTGCAACCCAGTGGCCCGAAAGAATTAATTCATCTCCCAAAATGTGAAATTAAATCCTAGGGAGTAACATTACATGACTGATGATGTAGTGAATTAAATTAAAGGAAGACTTGGATGCTTGTTAAAAAACTATCACTTACATAAACTAGTTTATAACCACACATGAGCCCCCTAATGGATCATGTTATGGGAAGCCACCGTAACAGAAACGTAAACTGTGAACTATCAGAGAGTAGTTTAATTTAGGAGAAAGCACGATTTTGATCTAATTCTCCCTTCTTCATGTCAAACAGTTTCACATTAGTATTGTGCTGGTAAAGTTCTAGAGCTAGGGGATGAAGCCGGAGACCCCACCCATACTTGCCAGGATGCCCTGGAGCCCTTCCTTGCAGTACTTGGGGTGACTACCACTTGCTCGGCAATAGCAACAAAAGCCCACTTTGTTGATTTAACCTTTCTGAAGGAGGAGCCCGAGTTTCATTGTGTGCACCTTGCCCATTGACACCATGAGACGGTCTGAGATCATTAAATGAACTGAGGCCAGAGGCAGAGGCTCCATTTTTTGGACATCCAGACAGAGAAGGTACTTTCCCCTGTGCTTTAATTACAGGCTGCCCTTTATGCACGGCTGACCTTATCATTCACGCATAAAATGTGCTCATATTTTATTTAGATTTGAAATTTAACACAAAAGGGACTATGTAATATAGCACACAAGGCTCTTTTACAAAAAAGGGTGACTAAACAGAATAATAAGGGGGCAGGGAATATGGAGACTGCAGCTTCTCCACACCCAGCAGTTACCCCTGGAGACCCATCTCTCTGCCTCAGTGTGACACTCAGTGAGGCCTGTGTATGCCACAAAGAAAAAGGACATCACCAAAGTGAGAAATGGCTAAAATCAGTAGAGGTTCCATTTCTTGTGGTAGATTTAGTTTTGGATTTATGAAAGTGATAAAGATCGCATTGTGAATTCACATGTACACATGTGCATATACAGCCTGCATGTAATTTTGAGAATCTGTGTCCATAAAATTTCCAATCACAGCAGGTCCCACCAACTGAAATCTGAAGATATCAATAAAATCTTCTATCTGTACTGAATGCATACAGACTTTTTTATGTTATTATCCCCTACACATTACATTAGCAATTTACATAGCATTTACATTGCATTGGATTTTGTGGGTAATTTAGAGATAATTAAAATGCACAGGGGGATACAAATAGTATGGCATTTTTCATAAAGGATTTGAGCATCCACAGAATTTGGTACCCAAAGGGGATCCTATATACTCCATGGATGTGGAAGAATTATATAGGAAATGTAACTACCATTTACTATAGTTTCCTTTTTATTTTATTTAATTTTTTAGTCCCTTCTCCCTTCTGACACTGAATTAAAGTCCAAAGCTCTGGAAGCCCCTGGGTATCCTCTCTGAATCTGAGGCTGGCCCTGATCTTTGATATTTGCTTCCTTTTTAATATGCAAATGACTAAAACATGTAATAAAACTAAAACATGCTGCCAGGGTCTGATCCTCTCACATCACCAGCACCAAGTTTCTACCTTGCCACTCAGGCAGGTTTCCTTACTGTCAACCGTGATGCCTCCACTCAAGCTGCTGGTCGTGCATGGTATAGTCTCTATTGAGCCCTACTGGTCTTTCCTAAGATCATGGCAAACGTGTAAATGGATTGTTATTTATGATATGGATATTTGTCTTCAGGTAAAAGTGTGTGCATGTGCATGTGTGCACCTGTGGGTATGTGTGCCTGTATGTGGGGTGTGTGTTTGTGTGTGTGTGTGCCCGTGTGTGCACGTGCATGTATGTGTATTTGAAAGATGACCCATTTAGCCAAATGGAAGCATAATCTATTTAGTAAACAAAAACCAATACTTATTTCTGAATAGCTGCAAGAGGAGAAATAATGAGCACATTGGTTCTCAGAAGTTTTATCTCAAAATAAATGTTTCTAGGATCCTAGGACTCTTCATCCGAGGCATTGAAGAAAATAGCCGGTGCAAACAGGAGGGGCTGTTTCAGGAGAATGAATGCATTGTAAAAATCAACAATGTGGAACTCCTGGACAAAACTTTTGCTCAGTAAGCATCTTTTCATTGTTTATTTACTTTATTGATCTCTTTAATATTTATAATCATTATTGAGCTCATTATGACCAAAATCATAGGTGGAATGTCAAGCCAGGTCCCTTTAAGTGACCCCTGACCATCCATTTCTGAATGCATTTTATGTCTTGACACTCAGAGGTGGCCAACACATGTGCCTGATGTCTACAGAAGTTGAGACTCAGAATGCAACAAGCCTTCCTGCCTTCCCGTCTTTCTGGGGCACCCATGAATGAAAGGGTTTGTTTTTCTTAGGCTATGGGTCAGTTAGACTGGTATTTACTGGCCCTTTTCACAGACAATTAATTCAACTTATTAATTAACATCCTTGATTCAGTCTTCCTTAAACTGTAAAATCTGCGGGTGATATATATGAGGACTCAATGAATAACTGAAACAAATTGTAAAAAAAAGTACATTTAAGATGCTCTACCTCAAGAAATTATACTTCTGAATGTGAAAAATATTACAGGGAATATGTTTCTACACAGGAATTATAATATGGAAAATCCAGCTGCATCTAGCTATATATATCTATATATATGCACATACATTGATAGGCATTGCCATTTTGAGGGCTTCTAAGTTAGGAACATAGTAGTGATAATCTTCATTAATAATCAGTAGCCTATCTTGCTACTGAGTCAAACTGCTCATAAAACAGCATCTCTCTGGTCACTACTTGTCAATATTGGGGGTTGGTGGCTGCCAGTGAAAAAGGCGTGTAGCACTGGCTGCTACTAAGGCATGGAATGAAATGATGTCTTCCTAAAACAATTTATTATATTCAGCTATTATTGGACAGAATTAGAATAATTATTAATAATTACGTTATTTGCATATTTTTGCTACCCTGTTTTGCAAAGGCTAGGGAGCTTGATGCTCTGTTTTACCAAAGTAAAAACTGAGTCATAAAACACTAACTTAGAGTCAAGTAAGAATAATCGATTAGTCATCTGATTTTTAAAAAGAAGCATTTAAATTTGCTTTAATTGTGTGCTTCAATCATTAATTCTAGTTAGATTTTCCTACTTAGACACACTTGAAAGCTGGGAGTTGTCAGTTAAGTTCTTTAGTCAGTCTGAGCTTCCACTTGGGTTTGTTAAATATAAGCGAATTATATTTGCTTTATATAGTTGTTAAGAAAACGAGAGGATTCTACACATTCATTGTGCATGTGTACCTAGTGTGAAGGCACCTTTGTGGGCAGTGAGAGAGAACTAGTTAACAGAGTCACAGTGCAGTGATAAACCCAGTGCCTCCTGTACGATGAGGTTGCATACCTTAGAAAGTCGTACGCCAGAACTCAGTATCATTCTCATTTATTCACTCTTTAAAGGGCCCAGGATGTCTTCCGCCAGGCAATGAAATCCCCCAGTGTGGTCCTCCATGTGCTTCTGCCTCAAAACCGTGAGCAGTATGAAAAATCAGTCATTGGACCACTAAACATTTTTGGCAACAGTGATGGAGCTTCGAGAACAAAGGTTCCACCTCCTACCCGTGGGAAACCAGGATTAAAGGCAGTAAATCTGGCAGGAACAAACAGTCCTGAAGCAGATGAGTCAACTTCCCCGCAGCAAAGCAAGAGCCCCCGAGTTCCAAGACTAGGAAGAAAAGCTTCGTCTCCCTCACTCTCCCCTCTCATGGGGTTTGGCAGCAAGAAAAATGCAAAAAAAATTAAGATTGACCTAAAGAAAGGTAATCATTAAATTGTGCTTAATAGCATCCTATTATTGTACCATGTAAAACTGGTTAAGAGAAATTCATTAAGGTTAATGTAGTTAAGTCTCTTTTTATTTAATTGTATCAAAGAATACATTTGAGTGTATACTTGGATAACTTAATTTTTTTAACTGTAGTACTTTCTTCTTTTCTTCCATGAAGTTTATAGTATTTGAAACAAGAGAATCATGAGGAATGGAGAGAATCGGTGCAGACTTTATAAAAGCCAAGCAGATTTTGTGACAGCTCAATACTGAGTAGTCATGGAGGCTGATTGTCTTCGTTTGGAGCATAAGTCAGTGATTGCTTTAAAAAACATCCTTTAGGCCAGTTCAACATTAGGGCCTCAGGCTCTCTGGAATGTTTTTTACATCAGTGAAAGGTTCAGTCTTCAGAAAGACAAGAGATATGTTTCTTGAAGATAGTCCAAATTTCAAAGCTGCATGCAACCTTTCTTAATCGTTTTCAACTTTTTGTCAACGTCCAGCACAGAGCAAGTATCCTGGTCACATGTGCACATACATATTGGTGCAGCATTATTATACACATGCTCTGTTGTGTTCCTGTGCACTCCCTACTTATGCCTTATTTTCCTCCCATTGTAAGTTTCTAAAATCCTGTGGTTTTTCAAGCCAATTCAAAGGTTTTTTTTCACCAAATTAATAATTTAATGACTACCAGGAAACTTTTAAAAATTATTTGTAAATTTCAAAAAGAACACATAGATATATAAATTATTCTATAAAGATTTCTCAATCAAAATTTTATTCACTTATAACAAATATTATCTTGGGAATAAAGTGAGTTGAAAAGAAGGCACAGAGGTTGATGTCCTTATTTTTAAATGCATTACAGATAAGTCATGTCCAAATGCATCGTTGTATACCAATAACCTACCCATGTATATGAGTTAGGTACTTTGAGATAAGAAAGATGAATCAATCACAGGGTCACGAGAAGATATCCTGGAGAGGGGAGTCAAACAACAAGGGTGCATTGCCTCTGTCCACATGTGAAACCATAATAGGCATGCCTTAATAGATAAATGGTTGTAGGAAGGAAGAAAGAAAAATTACAGTTTTTGCTGAGGTTTTCAGCCAGGGCAAATTTGCATACTGGAAATGTCATTGTTTGAAATTAGAATTTTAAGTAGATCCGGATATTTGATAATGGCAGGATATGGTTTGAAGAGAGATAAATACGGCAAAGTTTGAAATGTTCATAGTTACATTCAGGAAAGAGAGAGATATGTGGAGACACAGAGAGATGAAGAGGTGAGAGGTGAGAGGAGCGAGGACAAGTGAACCAAACAGACGCTGGCTCTGTTCCAGAAGGTGATGATAATGAATCAAGGAGCTGAGAGAGGCGGTAATGAGAAGAAGAGAAACTCCAAATACAGATCCTTGAGCATCATCTGTGTTTGTGTGGGAGGACAGTGGTTTGAATTCTAGGGTGACAGACCTGGTACAATGAGAGAGAGAGATAAAAATAAAAATGTTAAAAATCAAGGGAGAACTAATTTATGGAAATGATAATTAGAAAGTATCAAAGATTGATAAGAAATAAGGCCAAGCATGGAAGAATTCCTGGCGATGGTCACAGGAATGTGTCTATCAACTTTCTAAAACTATAACAAGAGCTATGAAATAGTAGGAGGTTTGGGAGCTCAAATTTTGGAAGTTTCAGCCCAGAGCTTGTTGATAGATTGCTTTGAACCTATAGGAAAGCAATGGGACATGATGAGAATGTATGATAGAGCAAGAATCTCACTTTCTAGCAGCCCAGAAACAAAGAAAGAGAACCATGAGGGATGAGGGGGCCATAGCTCCTTCTGTGGCATATCTCTAATGACATGCCATATGTCCCTAACATACTTCCTCTAGCGCCATCCCCTCAAGGTTCTGCCACATCCCGGTATGTTACAGGCCAGAGGCACAGCAGACTTCACTTGTGATGGAAGCTTCAAGATTGTTTACAGTTAAGAAATCTGCATATATCTTTAGTGAGAGTAGAAGGGAGACGTTGGAGATTTAAGGCAACTGGGAAGGAACAGCAAGACCCTCTGGGGACAAGACAGTGGCTATAGCAATAAAGCATCAGAACCCATGCAGAGGGTTGAGCCACAAGCTACTCGTTTGATTGAGAGACCCACAAAACTCCCTTGGAGGAGATCATAGGCTTGGGAGGAAAGATGAAGTCAGGAGGTAAATTACTAAGGAATTGGTACTATGGACACATGGATGGCATTCATTGTCTTCTAGAACCTGAATAAACAAAAGTGTCCTGTGTATATATTGGATCCTAACTCCACTTTGATGTTATCATTGCCTGTTCAGAACTGTCATCCTTATTTAAAACAGGAAAACTAAAGGCTATGTAAAATCTCCTGAAATGTAAATAATTTACTTGATCTGCTTTAATGTAAACCAGGTAGAGTTTACTAAAGGAGTGAATGTAACATAACCAGTTCTTAGGGAGACAATATATCTTTCTGCTAGGCCCTGAAGGACTTGGTTTCACTGTGGTAACCAGAGACTCTTCTATACATGGTCCTGGTCCCATTTTTGTAAAGAACATCTTACCAAAGGGAGCAGCAATAAAGGATGGCCGCCTACAATCAGGAGACAGAATTTTGGAGGTAAGAATTGAAGTTAATGTCTTCAGTAAAATATTTCTTTATATTTAAGTAAATAAACATATAGACATGTTGTGGTGATCTTTTGTTTGCGATCTAACAAATAAAGCTTGCCTGAAGAACAGAGTATGGAGCTAAAACCACTAGTTAGCCATGGAGGCAGTGGTGGTACACACCTTTAATCCCAGCACTTGGGAGGCAGAAGCAGATGGATCTCTGTGAGTTCAAGACTACCCTTGGCTACATGAGACTGATCCAGTCTTAAAGAAAAACAGAGCTAGGTGGTGGTGGCTCACACCTTTAATCCCAGTACTTGGGAGTCACACACCTTTAATACCAGTACTAGGAAGGGATGTGGCTGGGCGGAGAGAGGAATATAAGGCAGGAGGAGACAAAAGAGCAGCCATTCAGTCTGAAGATTCCTAGAGATAGGATCATTCATTCAATCTGAGGACTCATAGGGGCAGGATCATCCCTTTGGTCTGAGGATTTAGTAGAGGTAAGAACTAGTGGCTGGCCGCTCTGCTTCTCTGATCTTTCATCATTAACTCCTATATCTGATTTCGGGTTTTGATTATTAGGACAGTCACTTGTTGTCTCTTTTTGGTCCCAATACCCTCCAAAACTTCTAACATGGCATTGTATTTGCATATAAGTGATAACTTTAAATTGTCACTTTGTACAGACTAAGCAGGTTGTATTTAGACACACACACACACACACCATGCATATAACAGCAATCAATGAAAAAAGAGGCAAGGCAGGATATATGAGAAGGGGAAGGTTTGGAAGGAGGAAAGGGAAGGTGAAATATAATTATAATCTCAATAAATAAGAGAAAAAATTGTCACCTAGATGATATATGATATCTAATACAATCCAAATGCTACTTAAACAGTATGTCTTTTTTAGATGATAACAAAAAGGTTTGTCAGTGTCCAGTATACATACAACTTAGCCACTATGTTTTATCTGAAGTAGATTAAATTTCTGCTATTAAATTCACAGATATGGAAGGCTAGCTAGATATAAATGTTTAATTTCTAATGAAACATATATTGGAAATTAGTACTTATAGACAAGATAATGACTTCAATTATAAAACTAGTTAATGAGAAGCCTAACTGTAGATGTCTCCAAGATCAGGGATGTGAGACCAAATACTAACATTTTCCTATTTCATTCTTTCTTTCACCTGTGGTATGAGTTAAGCTAGGAGTTTATTAAATACTTAGTTGGAGCTATCCATTTCATACTCTCATGCAAGTCTCTGTAGTAGTGTCTTCCAAACTTTGAGGGATCTCCTATCGACACTGTTATATCCAAGTCAGTATCGCCTACACTAAGGCAGGAATAAGGATGCTGAGCTGGTTTTGCATAGAGAAGCATTTAAATACCCATTTATAAGGCTTGTTTCTCCCACTGATTACTGTCCAATAGCATCATCATCTCAATAATGAGCTTTGAACAGTAAACAATGAGAGAATCTTGGTTGAGACTGACTGGTTTTAAATCTCCCATGTTATTGAAAATTGCTTTCAAATATGTACCACTGAGAATGTATATTTTGGAGTTCTAGATCAGAAAGAATGCTCCAACTGACAAGAGAAGCTCTGAGGCTTGTTTCAAATAACCTATGATAACCGTTGATAACACTTTTCTAGGCAAAAGGAGTATTTGGGATTACACCAAAATATTTGTAATTTGCCATATGATAAATAGTTCACTTCTGTCTGGTACATTGCATTCCACTTCATATCTGTTTGATGAATTAATTTCTGACTATTTTTAGTCTGATTTTTCCTCTTAGAAAAATGCAGTGACTTAGGAAAAATTCCAACTGTAAAATAATTTATTGGTTGAGTTTGTCTCATATCAAAATTATGGTGACCATTTTATTATTGAAAATTCATATGTTTGACCATGTGCTTGCTCTCATCTTTTCAGAGTTTCATTGAATTCATGAATCCATTTGTTGCATACTTAACTCACAAAATAAAACCTAAAAAGAAATAGGAGATGTTCATGGTGGTACATGTCTATAATCCCAGCATTCAATAGCTCTGCCAGAAAGATCTGAGTTCAGGGACAGCCTTGGCTATACAACAATACCCTGGGCAACTTCAGCAAGACCTGTCTCAAATAAAAGGGACAAGGGAGGCAATGGGAAATATTCTGACTGTGGCTATGTATATGGTTCTGTCACTAGGTAAATGGCAGAGATGTCACAGGGAGAACTCAGGAAGAGCTTGTGGTCATGCTGAGGAGCACCAAGCAGGGAGAAACAGTGTCACTGGTTATTGCCCGCCAAGATGGGAGCTTCCTGCCCCGAGAGCTGGTAATGTTCAAACCTCTGTCTTCCTGAGCTTTTAGTTCTGTGGTTATTGTCCATCTGGAACTCATACTAGTGAGTACTGATGTTAAACTTGGGTTGTGTTCAGAACAAACATTGGGTGTGAGTGTGTTATTCTATTTGGAGTTTCACACTTATAGGACTACTGATACACTGAGGGAATGTATATGTACACAGGGCCTCGAGAGCACCAAGTCAAATAGATTCTGATAACAAATAGATATCCAAGCAATTGAGTAAAATATACATTTGAGCTTGCATTGTGAACTAGATGAGCAACATAGTTTGTAGACCTCCTTTAATGAGTATTCCAAATACCAACTTAATGGGAGACATTGGTCACTGGGGAAACTGGGTGAGGTATATGCAAAAAAAATGGAATTCTATCATTACATTTTTCTTTAAATCTACAACTGTTTTAAAATTAAGAGTTAACAAATAAGAGAAAAAATAACTTCAAAAGAAGTAATCCATTTCCAGGACTGGGCCATTTATTTGCTAGCACATAGACCTACTACGAGCATTATTTTTCCATAGGGGGATAACTCCATTTAAACTTTATATGTATATATTTTAGGATGCTTCTACATTAGTAGGTTTACGTATGACTTTCTCCAAAGGTCTTAAGAGTTAGTTATCTCTCCTCATTCTTCCTCCTCAACCCTTCTAAATCCACCCAGTTTAACCATTTCAGTTTTATTATCCGCCATCCATCCCTTACACACTGTATTATATCCCTCTTCCCTTGAAAACATTCCTGATCTCACACACACACACGCACACACACACACACACACACACACACACACACACACACAACTACTTCGTGGTCCTTTAATACTTTTTTGACCACTGTGGGTTTTCTAAAGGAAACATGCAAAGCTAAAAATTTAAAGTTAAGATGTTCATATGAAAGGAAACATGACATTTGTCTTTATGGATCACCTCATTCAGGATGGTGGTGTATGATATGTGTATTTATTTATAAGTTCCATTCATTTACCTGTAAATTTCATAATTTTGTTTTTCTTAACAGATGAACAATGTTCCGTTTTATAAATTGTCTCATGTTCATTATCTATTCAACAGTTGATGGACATCTAGGCTGTTTACATATTCTGTGTATTGTGAATAGAGCAGCAATTTACAGAGATGAGCCAGTATCTCTCTAGTAGGATATAGAGAGTCCTTATTATTAGAGTCCTTTGTGTATATACCCAAGAGTAATATAGCTGGATCATGTGATAGATATATTTCTATTTTTTAAAGGAACCTCCACACTAAATTCAGTGTAGTTGCAGCAGTTTTCACTCTCAGAAGCTAGGAATAAGTATCCACATTTCCCCCATATACATACCACCATATATTGTCTTTTTTTTAATATTAGTCATTCTGACTGTAGGAGTTATTGGCTATTGGGCCTGCACAGACCCACAAACGTTATACAGTATTGCCATTACTTTGGGTTAACTTCCAGAACTTAGCAGTAAGATACTATTTCTGAAGATACCATATACTTGAGTGGTAAAACATGGAGAAATCAATTTGGTACTAACCTGGAATGAGTACTGCCTAGCTTCCTTAGTGATGGAAAGTGTTCTGCATGCTGCCAGAGGAGAAAAGTTATTATTAGTCTTACCTGTATCTGTGATACCATGACCTGCAATAATGAATGACCTTGCAAAATATTCTTACTGGTGAATGGTTTAGGAGTAATCAAGCACTTTCTGATTGGGTTAAATTCTGATCCACAAGAAGGAATCCATACTTGGCACTGCTAGAACCTGTGTTTACATAGGCTGTAGATCCTAGGGGAGAATTTACAACTCTTATTCTACTAAATGGACATAGTATTAAACCAACTCCTAAGGATTTACAGCTCTACCCCTAGATGAGTGCATCTTTCAATTCTCATCAAGAAGCTGCTCCTTGTAGTAGATGATGATGAGCACAGAGAGCTACATCTGGTCAATTTGTTAAGAATAAGAGACTTCAGAGTCCCAAACCCCAGAAGGAACATCTGTCACACCTCCCCACAAAGCTCAAAGGTCATTGTGGAAGAGGGGGGAATGGAAAATTTAAAGAGCCAGAAGCAATGGGTGATTCCAGTGTGTAATAAAACAGTGTTATGAACTCACAACAGTCATGACAGCATGCACAATGACCTGTACAGGCTCATGCCAGACAAAATTCCATCAGGGAGGGGGGACATGGGCAGGACATTTTACCCCTAGCCAAAATAACGGTTGGCAATTGATAACTTCTTGGAAAAGGAACATAAGTTCTCTTTAAGGTTGTGAACATGGTAGGACAATCATGATCCAAGGGTTGGCCTTATACCCAAGAGTATTTGGGCAACAGAAATTGGAGTTAGTGGGGTTTTGAAGAAAGAAAAGAAAGGAAAAAAAGAAGACAGGAAGGTAGATAGTTAGGCATTGAGGTAGATTCAACTATATTGTATAAAACTTTCCCTTTAGTCAGGGGGACAGGAGTCATGAAAAAGATAAAAAGTTAATTTATTATTTGTTTTTTAGTTTTGAGTCTGTCATAGATTTGTGGTTTTATTTTGTTTTGATTTTGGTAGTGGATAGATGTATAAGATATATTTGATACCAAGAGTGTAAAATTTAATGTGAACTTCTAGTTATTTTGAATGTCTTTTCTAACTTTATCAGTATTTATTAAGCTGTATAAACTTTGGGTCTGGTTAATTATGGTATATGATATATTATTTGCTTATTTTTATAATAAAATATAGAAAATTAATTTAAATATAGATTCTTAAAGAATGAAGAAAATATTACTTTAAAGAGAAAAACTAAAATAATAGAAATAAAAATATGCTTAAGTGTTCAGAGAGGACATGAAGTTCATGAAGGGATCTGCAGAACACTGCATTTACACTCCACACAGGAATTCAACCTGTTCTGAGCTCCGAGAAAGATGTCCTAAGAGAATTTCAATTCATTCAAAGTGAATCTCTGCCCACCCAGAAACTACTCATTTGGTAATTTTTAATTGGTAATCAAAAATGTACAAAAATTCACATGCATTGACTTCTTCACTCATGTTTGATTTGCACAACTACAAGCTATTAGTTAAATAAATAACTATATATTTCTCCAGTGAAATATAATCACTACATAAATGGTATTAATGAAAAATTGTTTGTCATTTGAGAAAATCTATAGTATAATGCTAAGTAAGAGGTAGGCCACAAAATATTATATGGGAAATTATCTAATTATATTAAAGTTAAAGGCTTGAAAAATAACTGGGAAGAAACACAACTAAAATTTTATATTTGGTAACAATGAGAACATTTATTTATTGAAACACTTGGCTTTTAGAATGATTACAGAACGTTTAAAAGGCCTTTTATTCCTAAGAACAACAAGAAAAAGATGCTGGTCTCAGGAATCCTGGTTACCTCTTGTTTTGAATTCCTATTTCCTCTGAATCTGTAAGGAACTGACAAGGGCTTATATAAGCAGCAGGATAGGTTGCCAGAGTTAAGTGAGCAATCTAAGAGGTTGAGCTGGGGGAGTAGTGGCTACTAAAGGGGCAGTTTAGGATAATTGTTATCAAATATGATATGTGAGGTGTGTTGGAAAATGAACTTACTGCCTTTCCTGAAACCATTAATCAACTTACCCATCAATTCAGCAAATGACCTACTACCTTCTCAGTACAAAGTTGTAGATTCTAGGAGTACAAAAGTAATTCAAACTCATTTTTACTTGTATTGAGCTTGTCCCAAAGCAAATAATTGGGAGAGGGTAAAGTTATAAGAACTTCTCAACCATGAAAATGCACAAGGCAGAAATGAATTACTCAGAATACTTAAATCCAGTTTAAGCTGTTGAAGAATGTTGGCCCCATGAGATGGTTTAGCAGGGAAAGACACTGACTGCCTGATGACCCGAGTTCTGTCTACAGGGCCACTTGAAGGAAAGAGAGCCAACCAACCAACCAAACAGCCAACTAATATCACACACACACACACACACACACACACACACACACACACACACACACACACACACACCTGTTTCTCTGCACTTTAACTATTACTGTGTTTTTCACATATCTGAGTATAGCCTTACTGAATCCCTGATCTTCCGCAGTAATGCTCCTTATATTACTGACAGGTCCTCCCTTCTTCCCTACAAGTATTTTTTTTGACATGGAATTTCCTTTCCATATTGCTATTTCTTTCCCATTGTCCTGTTCATTGTCCCCTTACCCCCATTACACACTATGTGAAGATCTACAGTGAAATAATAAAAAAGAAGGGGGCAGCATGGACAGTATAAGCTATAAGGACATGTACCTTACTTCATTTTCTCTACTCTGCTCCATGACCACCATTTTCAAAGGCAGAACCTGTAACGCTACCTCATCTCTCAGACAGGTCCTTATTCTTCCCAAGAGAGATGATAAAGAAACCTGAAGTCCCAATATTGTCCTCTGAAATATAGAGGCCTCTCTTCAATCTTTTGTTTACCCTCGGGTTCCTCTAGGAGGGTCAAAGTGAAAAGAAACAATAAAAAGAGTTACTGTGTGTACAAACACTAGAAGTCTATTTCCTTATTTTCCAATCCCCTGAATGACAGAGACAAAATTGATCATAAAACCTCAGGGAGACAATGTGCATATCTCAGAAAAGAAAGAAAGAACCTTTGACCTCTCCTTGAACTCTGATTCTGGAAGGAATAAAGCTCGACATTAAAGAGAGACATTCCAGCCATTGGTCCCTTTTCGTAACAGAACCCAATTGGCAAAGTCTCACTGGCTGCTTAAACCTTCAGAAGCCTCCATCTCTATCTAGTAACTCCTTCAGCTTCCTCCCATATGTCCTCTGGAATTCCTGACTCCAAGGCTAATCCCCATCTTCTAGAAACCTTCCTTCATCTTCCCCTAGGCAAGAAAGAAAGAGTTATGTAATTTTGAGTTCACAACTCAGAAGATATTTTTTATTTAAA